GAAGACCATTAATAATTTAATCATTTGGAACTTAAAAAAGATTCTTGTTCTCACCAACCTCTGCTGCACAACTCATAATGTAGAGAGAATCATAATAACAAACTGGGGTAAATCACACACACACACACACACACACACACACACACACACACACACACACACTTACCAGTACCAGACGACGACCGACCACTCGTTAACACCTTACCTGTAGAGACAGAGAGAGACACGTTAGAGATGATGAGACAACCAGCAGGATGTGGCACAGACCCTCCCTCAGTGACCCGCACGTGCTGGCATTAAGGTCATAAGTGCTATCAGTGCCATGACTCACGACCAACCGTGACAACCTCCTCCTCCCTCCTCCTACCACCATGATATCTTCCATCAGATTGGTTGGATATTGGTTGTGGTGGTGGTGGGTTGTGATGGATTGTGGTGACGATTGTGATGGTGGTGGTATAATGTGGTGATGACGGTGGTTGATTGTGGTGATGGGAGGTTGTGATGGTAGTGGAAGGTAACAGCTCTCTGGATGCTCTATACTGTATGTCTATTAAGAATCAATTATATGTTTGTCCTCCTTTATATATGCTGAACTAGTTAGATCTCACTCCTCTTGATAAGCCTCTAGTCTTATTTACTTTACAAACTCTATTTATAAACTTTTATCTATTTGCCTTACCCCATTTTCTTTGTTAATCCCTCCCATATCTACATAATCTGACTGATCTGGGCTACGATTCTAAAAAAAAAAAAAAAAAACCTAAGTTCAATTATCCCTAAATGGAAATGTAAGAATTCACCACATGAAAAATACACTGAGTTTTTACCTTAAGTAGACACGTAGAGGAGAAAATTATCGTACAAAAATATCAGTGAAGCCTCGACTTTAGCCTCAACCGTCGGGCCACCATCGCCGCAGTGAACCCTCGACCGTATAGTCCATACTGGCCACCTCCCAACATGATCGACCTGACCACCTGTGGCGACTTCCACTTTTCCCCAACACACTCAACTGTGATGGACTTGTAAACTACTCGACAAAGGTCTGAGCCAAGCCATAATTTCTACCACAACATGGGTGTCGGAGAGCCGTGAGAGCTGGGAGTTAGGGGCTATATGGTGGGAGGGATTTGGGAGGGAGGTCCAAAGAAGAGAGGGAGAAGAACAGAACCCAAAGAGGAGAGAGAGAGAGAGAGAGAGAGGAGAGAGAGAGAGAGAGAGAGAGAGAGAGAGAGAGAGGAGAGAGAAGAGAAGAGAAGAGAGAGAGAGAGAGAGAGAGAGAGAGGGAGAGAGAGAGAGAGAGAGGGGAAAGAGAAGAGAAGAGAGGAGAGAGAGAGAGGAGAGAGAGAGAGAGAGAGAGAGAGGAGAGAGAGAGAGAGTATCCTAAGGAGTATGAACCTTTGACCTCACCATCATCACTACATCAGCGTGAGGGAGAGACAAGTACTTCACGTCACCATGTACAGTACATCACTGTTACCTTTGTGTCACGTGCTAGAGAGAACACAACCTGGAGTTAAGAAAGTGTCACCTTTACAACCCCTGTATATAACAACCACAAAATATGGTTGATCGGGAATTATCTATTTTGCCACTTACAGCGGCTAGTTTATGTACACCCTGTATCACCCTGTGGGCGGTAGCGCAAAGGATTACGGAGTGGAGTTCACAAAGGGTCAGTATATAATCTAACCCTCGTGGTCAGGATATATATTTGGAATGTTACACAGTATTTCAATTACATTATTTGTTTATTTCTTTACATAAAGTGGTAACTTATTCACAAAATTGAGTACATATGTGAGGCAGTATGTCTGGCCTCACACTTTGTTATTCACATTTGCCTGAGTAGTATTCACATTGTGTATTTGGTTCTATACATGAGAACTGATATAGTTACTAAGTAAAAAAGTGGATACAATCTTAATATGTGGGCTCTCTTGCCAGTTAGAGATGAAGTGTTGTGCCATTTCACACACAGTGCTTGGACCTGTCCTTGAAAGGTTCTATCTTCATAACAGTCGAGGACGTGAAGTGTGTGGCCATATGTTTCCACACACACTTTACATTTAGTCTTGTTCACATGCTTGAGGGATATGTTAATTTCAGAGGTACTTTTATACCCAAACGTTAGTCTGGCACAGTGGTTCTCAACCTGGGGGACACGTTACGGCATGATTTTAGGGGGGTCACGGTGGGCTGTTACAAGTTGTAAATGTGACAAGAAAATGTGAGGAATCTGAAATAAATACAAATGTCATTACGTATTTTGACTTGGGAGAAGACAAACTGGAGAGAGTAGTGGTTTCCAACAGCAGTCCTTGGGGTGGTTGATGCAACAGAAGAGGTTTCCCTCCAAATAGCAGAAGAAGGCCAACACAACTGGTGAAACTTTACTTAAGCCGTGTACTTTAGAGACGGTCAAGCGGGTTCTTGGAGAGACAAGTAAACGTAACATCCAGAGGATTTCCTTGTCAGGCGACGCGGCGAAACGGCGGATTATTGAAATGTCGGGTGACATAAAGAACAAGTGATAGAGAGAAGGAGGGAGGGAGAAGAAAGGGTAATATTTAGGGGGAGGGCAGGTTAAGGGCAATGAAGGGTAAAATAGGGCAGACCAAGACAAGGTAGGCCTACTGGGGTGAGGGATACACACACATACACACATGTGGCCAACATCCATTTCTTGCGTGATTGGCTGTGGGTAGGCAATTACCCTACACAATACACCTGCCCAGAGCTCTTCACCTCCCTCTCCCCAGGACTGGTCTTCTCCTTCCTTCTCTTACCTCTCTTCACTCACCACCTCTTTTCAAGACCTGAACCTCTTTCTCCCGTTAAAAAAATGTAATAATAATAATAATAATAATAATAATGAACTTTGGAGTAAATAAACGATTATTTTCAGTTATTTTCCAACTTGATTCTCCAGCGCTCTAACATTAATCACCCGGGGTCTAATATTACTAATCACCCGCTCTCACATTAATCACCCGGGGCTCTCACATTAATCACCCGCTTCACATTAATCACCCGCCTTACATTAATCACCCGGGTTTCTGCATCAATCACCCGGGGTTTTCATATTAATCACCTCATAACATTAATCACCTGGCTATAAATAGTCACCTGCTCTAATATTTAATCACCCGTCTCTATTAATCACCTGCTCTAACATTAATCACTCATTAATCATCTGCTCTAACATTAGTCACCCGGGTTCGATTAATCACCCGGGCCCCAACATTAGTTACCCGGGGCTCTAACATTAATCACTGGGGCTCATTAATCACCCGCTCTAACATTAGTCACCCGCTCTAACATTAATCACCCGGCTCCAACATTAATCACCCAGGGTTTAATATTAGTCACCCGGGCTCTAACATTAATCACCCGGGGTTTGATGATCACCTGCTCTAACATTAGCCACCCGGGGTTCTAATATTAATCACCCGGCTGCAAACATTAATCACCTGGGCACTAGTTGTCTCCATCTGGGTTTTAAAAAGAGCCCCATAGAGCCACTTAGGGTGACAGGTGAGTCAACCATTATACCTGCAGAACAAATGAACGTCGGGGATCTTTTATTCCTCTGATCCTTTCTTCCCTTTAAGGAGAGAAGGGGTGTATAGAAAGGGGGGTAAAGGAAGGGGTTAAGGGCATGGGAGGTAGGTAGGTAGATGGGGGGTACTTGGAGGTGGGGAGGGAAAACACTGAGATAAAGAAAGAGACAGAGAGGGTGGAAGGACAGGGAGAAGGAAGTGTCTAACGAAGGAAGGAAGAAGGAGGGAGAGAAAGGAGGAGAGAAAGGAGGGCGGGAAAGGAGGGAGGGCAAGGTAGGGAAAGGAGGGGAAAGGAGGGCAAGGGGAGGGAAAGGAGGGCAAAGGAGGGAAAGGAGGGCAAAGGACGGAAAGGGAGGGCAAGGAGTAAAAAGGGAGGCAAGGGAGGAAAGGAGGGAAAGAAGGGAAAGGAGGGCAAAGGAGGGAAAGGAGGGCAAAGAAGGGAAAGGACGGCAAGGGAGGAAAGGGAGGGGCAAGGAGGGAAAGGGACAAAGGGCGGAAAGGAGGGCAAGGGAGGAAAAGGAGGCGGAGGGAGGGAAAGGAGGGCAAGGGAGGGAAAGGAGGGCAAGGGAGGAAAGGAGGGCAAGGGAGGGAAAGGAGGAGGGCAAGGGAGGGAAAGGAGGGCAAGGGAGGGAAAAGGAGGGCAAGGGAGGAAAAGGAGGGCAAGGGAGGAGGGCAAGAAGGAAAGGACGGCAAGGGAGGGGAGGAGGGAAGGGGAGTTTTGACGAGGTACAAAAAGGAGGAGGCTGACAGTGAGAGAAAGAAAAGAAAAAGCAGGTCTGACGGAGGGTGGGAGGAGAAGGAAGGAGGGAAGGAAGATGGAGGGAAGGAGAGAGAGGAGGGAGGAGGAGGGAGGAGGAGGGGACAGGAGAGATTGAGAAAGAGAGAGAAAAAATGAGCTCTTGTTTGGGCAGCGGAGCTTACACAGTTTTTACGTTGCCCTTTGAGGTGTTTTATCTGGGAGATTTTTAAGCAGGAATTAGGCCCCAGAGACTCACTAATCCCAGACCACAAGTGAAGCTAATTTTTCACCATTTCTCGCCACACACGAGGTCGTAGCTGAGGTTTGGAAGGGATTTTAGCTGAGGTTTAAGGAGGTTTTTAGCTGAGGTTTTGAAGTTGTTTAGCTAACCTAACCTCTACTAGTGTACTGAACCTAACTAAACCAAACTAAACGTAACCAAGTCTCTAAACAAACCTAACCTCACCAAATCTAACCAAACCCAACGAGTTCTCTAACCGAACCAAACCAAACCTATCCAAAGCCCCTTAACCTAACCAAACCTAACCTGACGAAGCCCCTAACCTAACCTCACCAAACCTACCCAAGCCCCTAACCCAAACTAACCTAACCAAACCAAAACCCGACTTAACGTCAATCAAAACAGACACAAAAAGACTTAATTTAACATAAGGTATCCGACACTCTTACGACACATGTCACCTCCAGACACCTACGACACATGTCACCTCCAGACACTCTTACGACACATGTCACCTCCAGACACTCTACGACACATGTCACCTCCAGACACTTCCATTGACACATGTCACCTCCAGACACGACTACGACACATGTCACCTCCAGACACGACTACGACACATGTCACCTCCAGACACTCTACGACACATGTCACCTCCAGACACGACTACGACACATGTCACCTCCAGAAACTCTACAACACATGTCACCTCCAGACACGACTACGACACATGTCACCTCCAGACACTCTACGACATGTCACCTCCAGACACGACTACGACACATGTCACCTCCAGAAACTCTTACGACACATGTCACCCAGACACGACTACGACACATGTCACCTCCAGACACGACTACGACACATGTCACCTCCAGACACGACTACGACACATGTCACCTCCAGACACTCTTACGACACATGTCACTCCAGACACTCTTACGACACATGTCACCCAGACACGACTACGACACATGTCACCTCCAGACACGACCATGACACATGTCACCCAGACACGACTACGACACATGTCACCTCCAGACACGACTACGACACATGTCACCTCCAGACACGATCACACACATGTCACCTCCAGACACTCTACGACACATGTCACCCAGACACGACTACGACACATGTCACCTCCAGACACTCTTACGACACATGTCACCGACACTCTTATGACACATGTCACCTCCAGACACGACTACGACACATGTCACCTCCAGACACTCTTACGACACATGTCACCTCCAGACACTCTATGACACATGTCACCTCCAGACACGACTACGACACATGTCACCTCCAGAAACTCTACGACACATGTCACTCCAGACACGACTACGACACATGTCACCCAGACACTCCTGACACATGTCACCTCCAGACACGACTACACACATGTCACCCAGACACGACTACGACACATGTCACTCCAGACACGCCTACGACACATGTCACCTCCAGACACCTACGACACATGTCACCTCCAGACACGACTACGACACATGTCACCTCCAGACACGACTACGACACATGTCACCTAGACACGCCTATGACACATGTCACCCAGACACGCTACGACACATCCAGATCCACAGACACATGTCACTCCAGACACGACTACGACATGTCACTCCAGACACGACTACGACACATGTCACCTCCAGACACTCTTACGACACATGTCACCTCCAGACACCTACGACACATGTCACCCAGACACGTCACGACACATGTCACCTCCAGACACGACTACGACACATGTCACCTCCAGACACTCCTACGACACATGTCACCCAGACACTCTATGACACATGTCACCTCCAGACACTCTACGGCACATGTCACCCAGACACTCCTATGGGCACATGTCACCTCCAGACACTCTTACGACACATGTCACCCAGACACGACTACGACACATGTCACCTCCAGACACGACTACGACACACGTCACCTCCAGACACGACTACGACACATGTCACCTCCAGACACGACTACGACACAAGATGTAGCGGCAGTGTTCACGTCTTATTTCCATCATGGTTTATAAAGTTGTCTCTACTGTAGCTTGACGAGAGAGAGAGAGACTCCCAACATTATCCTATACGCTTGTTAAATTACACGGTTGTTAAATTACTGTTGTTAAATTACTCTGTTAAATTCACTCGTTAAATTACACTGTTGTTGATTAGATTGATGTTAATTACTGTTATTAAATTAGATTTGTGAAATTAGGGTAGACTTGTTAGTTACTGTTGCTAAATTAGACTCGTTAATTACTGTTGTTAAATTTGACTTGTTAAATTACTGTCGTTAAATAAGACTTGTTAATTACACTTTAAACTTATATTGTTGTTAATTAAGACTTGTTATACTTATCGACTTTTTACAATGTTTCTGATAATATTTGGTGCTCTAAAACAAAACACTCACCAAGAATTTAATGAGTTCCAACGCTTTTTTTCCCCTAACACAGGGAGGAGGCTCTCAGTTAGTCTTGTTTACTGTAACCAGGTGGCAGGCATCTTTTCCCGCCAACACTCTCAGCTGACGACAGAACCTTCACTTTTCCCGGGAAATTGTTTATGAAATTCTCGACAAGACTAAACAACTTCGTAAATTCTATAAATAATCAGTTTCAGTAACATTTAAATCATATGTGAAAATGATAAATATTTCTAGAATGTTGGTATCGTTGAAATATACTGAATATTTTATCCATTTTGAAAAACTTGATCACTTGAGGACCCAAAATCGATACAAATGGTTAAAAACAAATTAAACTCGACTCAACGGGAGAAAAGAAGTGCCCCACCCTCAGGTAGCTTTAGGGTGATTAATCAACGGGTGAAATAATCTGGGTGGGGGATGGCTAATGTATATATGATATAATGGAGAATATATAAGGCATGATAGACCAAAACAACCTCAACTATATCACGTTAAACAAAAGAATCGACTTAAACACAAACGAGGGAAGCTTAATATAGAGGTGGTACATAAATCCCTTTACCAACAACAATATCCTGTATATGAACTGCAACTTATGCGCCACTCTTTATGTTGTTGAAGAAAATACAGAATAAAAATAAAAATCTCTCTGTTGTAAAACATAAATAAACAACAACTAAATCACAAGAAGGTATAATACGTAGTCATACGGTTGTGCTGTTATTCTGTGTTAATCTACACTGCGAAGATGCTGAAAACCAACTTTTAAAGTGAGACAGATTGTAAGAGCATGGAAACACAAAAGAAGGCAAAGCATTCCACAGTTTGGCTGTGTGAGGAAAGAAGGAGGTACCATAACGGGCTATTCTAATGTGACCAACATCCACAGAGAAACGGTAGCACCGCGGGCAAGACGAGTGTTACGAGCCCACGGCCCTGCTGGCGGTACACAGGATGCCAACCACCGAACATTGCCTGTTAAAGTACCTGTAAGAGAGAGAGTGAAGCAACATTGGGCGAAGAGAAAGGGAGGAGAGATTGTCGACTAAAGGAGGAGAGTTAATAAGACGACATGCCTTTGATTCCATCCTATCTAACAGTTGAGCAGAAGACGAGCCACCCCAGGATATGAGAGAGCAGTACCTGCTAGGGACGAATGAATCCTTTATATACTTGGAGCAACTGCTCAGGAGGAAGTAGCTACGGCATCTGTACAGCATTCCCAGCTGGGAGGCAGCTTTAGCTATATTAATGATGTGATTTCTAGTACAAATTGGAGGAAATGGTGAGGCCTAGCATAATTATTTCAGAATTTGGCAGAATGATAGCATCCGAAATGTAATTGGGAGATCCCCACCTCCCCACCTGCTCCTACCTCCCCACCTGACCCCCACCTGCCCTACCTCCCCCACCCGTCTCCCACCCCCCCTACCTGCCCCCACCCTCCCCACCCGTCCCCCCACCCCCAACTGCCCCCACCCGCCCCCACACCCGTCCCCACCCCACCCGCCCCCAACCCCAACCCGTCCCCACCCCCACCCGCCCCCAACCCCCACCCCACCCGCCCCACCCCTCCCCCACCCCCACCTGTCCCCCACCCGCCCCCCACCCCACCTGTCCCCCACCCCACCTGGCCCCCACCCGTCCCCACCTCCCACCCGTCCCCACGTCCCCACTCCCCACCCGTCCCCACCTCCCCCACCCGGCCCCCACCCCCACCCGCCCCCACCTGCCCCCCACTCCGCCCCCCCCACCCGCCCCCACCCCCCCCACCCGCCCCCCCACCCGCCCCCACCTCCCCACCTGCTCCCCACCTCCCCCCACCCGCCCCCACCTCCCCACTCCGCCCCCCACCTCCCCCACCTGCCCCCCACCCGCCCTCCTCACCCGCCCCACCTCCCACCTCCCCCCACCTGCCCCCACCCGTCCCCTACCTCCTGCCTCACAAACAACAGAGAACCATTAATCATCACCCACCACACACAACTAACATTTCCTTCCACACCAATCCCATAACCCAACCCAACCTAACCCAACCTAATCCCAACCTAATCTAACCTAACTTGTTCCTAACCCAACTCCATCCTAACCCAACCTAACCTAAAACTAAACCAACCTAACCTAACCTAACCCAACCCAATCCTAACCTAATCTAACCTAACTTACTCTAACTAAACCCAACATAACCCAATCCTAACCTAATCTAATCTAACTTACTCTAATTCAACCTAACTCCCTTACCCCAACTGATGACGTATAAAGCCACCTGTAGCCACTCAACTACTGGCTTGAACTTGAGGCCACATCGTTAAATCCTCTACTTTAAACCTCGACCCAGAATAGGTTGGTTAGGTTAGGTTAGATAGGTGAGGGTTGGTTAGGTTAGATAGGTGAGGGTTGGTTAGGTTAGGTTAGGCTAAGAGGGGTTGGTTAGTTAGGTTTATACTGAACCAGTGAAGAATTTTCAGGTGAAGAATTTGATCTTTACTTGAGTGATAATTAAAATCATGTTTAATCACTTTGGAGTACAATACCTAGCCCTTTTCTTGAGTACAATACCTTAACCCTTCTTGAGTAATACCTTAACCCTTTCGAGTACAATACCTTAACCTTTTCTTGGTTACAATACTTTAACCCTTTCTTGATACAATTTAACCCTTTCTTGAGTACAAACCTTAACCCCGCCTTGAGTAATGTCTCAACCTTGAATACGATGACTTATCCCTGAGTTATAGGACATTGTACTGGGATTAAGATGTCAAACCAGATTAAATTACACTGGGTTGCCGTCTTTAGGTGAAGCTACTGCAGTCGAGATAGTTGTTGTGTAGTAGTGTGATGTGGTGGTGGCGGTACATAACACTGGTAGAAATGCGAGTAGTGGGTGATGGTGGTAGTAGTGGTGGTAAGGAGAGAGGGTAGTAGTAATAGTAGTGGTGTTGATGGTGGTGGAGTGGAGGGAGAAGGTGGTGTGGTAGGAGGGGGGGTAGGGCAGTAGTTGTGGTAGTGAGGGAGGTAGTAGTAGTTGTGGTAGTGAAGGGAGGGTAGCTGTGGGTAGGAGGGGGGGGTAGTAGTAGTTGTGGTAGTGAGAGGGGGTAGTAGTTGTTGTGGTAGTGAGGGGGGTAGTAGTAGTTGTGGTAGTGAGAGGGTAGTAGTAGTTGTGGTAGTGAAGGGAGGGGGTAGTAGTGGTAGTGAGGGTAGTAGTAGTTGTGGTAGTGAGAGGGTGGGGGTAGTAGTAGTTGTTGTAGTGAGAGGGGGGGTAGTAGTTGGTAGTGAGGAGGGAGGGGTGTAGTTGTGGTAGTGAGGGGAGTAGTAGTTGTGGTAGTGAGAGGGGGGGGTAGTAGTTGTGGTAGTGAGAGGGGAGGGGGTAGTAGCTGTGGTAGTGAGAGGGAGTGTAGTAGTAGTTGAGGTAGTGAGAGAGGTAGTAGCTGTGTAGTGAGGGGGGGAAGGAAAAGGACAAGAGTGGGAGGTGATTTGTTTCTGGAAATAACACACACAAAAAATCGTAAATCTTGGGAACGAGTGACGCTGAATTGGACGATTCTCACGACTAGCTCCCTACTGTCAGGTCCTCTCCTCCTCCCTCTGTCTTCCAGGTCTCCTTCCTTAGTGTTCCAGGTCCCCCCCACCCCCTCCTTTTTCCACTTATACAAAACTCATAAAACGACGAGAGACAGAGAGACAGACAAACAGAGATATATACACAGAAAACACACACATACAGACAGAGACAGCCACACACATACACAGACAGAGACAGCCACATACAGACAGAGACAGCCACACATACAGACAGAAACAGACATACAGACAGAGACAGCCACACATACAGACAGAAACAGACACATACAGACAGAGACAGCCACATACAGACAGACAGCCACACATACAAACAGAGACACACACATACACACAGAAACAGACACACATACAAAGAGACAGCCACACATACAAACAGAGACAGCCACACATACACACAGAAACAGACACACATACAAAGAGACAGCACACACACACAGACCCGACTCTGGGCCACACACAATCCCATCATTTCTCGCATGTGGCAAAAAATAAAGAATACCGTGAGTTGTGGTGTGGGTGAGACAGTGACCTCTCTGGGCAGAGACCCAGCTGGTACCGCCCATCAATCACTCATCACACCCTAGCCCAACACCTCAACGAGACGCCAGTTGAAGCTTCCTAGGATGAACTAATGTGAACCTGCGGGTGCAGGTGTGTGTGTGTGTTAGCCCCAGTACAGGTGTGTGTGTGTGTGTGCCTTCCCTACACCAGCACATCCCTCCTTACACCACCAGAGTTACTCTTCTCCAACAACCATTCATCTGCCAGCACTACAACACCTCCCCACACCACTACACATCTCCCCATACCATCCCCACACCTCCCCACATTATCCTACATCTCCCCACACCATCCTACACTACCACACCCACTTCCCCACCACCACAAACTTCCATACCACCACACACCAACACACCTCCCACACCACCACACCGGTCACCAGGCCTTCAACGAGCGTGACTTGTAATATGCTAAACACAGAACACTAAAAGTAATGACAACAACAACACGACAAAC